AAGGAGCTTTAAATTTGCTGCAGGAGGAAATTGCTGCTTCCACTGGGAGCCAGCCCTGGCTGGGCAATGTGATGGGAGCTTCCCAAAGTCAATACAGAGCCCTTGGATCTGAAGGACGTGCTGCAATAACTCCCTTGGAATGTTTCAGTTTTGAGTCAATAAAGCTGTTATATCTAAATTGAGTTATAGGTATCTGATGTTACTCTATTCGGTTTTCATTGCCTTTTGCTTAGGAAACTAAATACCATGATGCATAATAATAATTAAAGATTGGCAGATGAGCAGGAAATCAATCCATGTCTCCTGGGCAGATATTAACTCTCATTCACATTTTGGTTGTTTGTTCCTTTTTACAAACATGCAGCCACACTGCCTTACCCACACTGAATTAGCAGAACTCACTGATGGATGCCCTCACTGATGGAGCATGGCTGGAACTGCTGCTCCCTGGAAGAGCTTCCAGCATCCCCTGTGACCCCTCTGCAAATGAGTTTGCAGAACAGACTCTCCTCTCTTTCAGAAGCTCTCTCAGTACACAAATGACACTTGCAGCTCTTACAGCCAGAGTGAGTGACATGCCTGAGAAAATAAAAAGCCTCTGCTCACCTGGTTTGCAGGGGCAGATTAAAGAAACCTAACCTGTTTTCTTTGAAAGAGGAGACAGGTGGGTAACTTGATTACAGCCTATAAATGCCGTCTCAGAAAAAGCTTTGTGTTGATGAGAGGGGCTTCCGTGAGTAACTGAAAACACAAGTAGATCCAGAACCTGGAAACTGAAATCAGGCAACTTCAGAGTGGGAAGCAGGGTGAGTAATTAAACAGCAGAATGGCATTTGTGGGGATAAGTGATTCACCATAATAGCAGGATGGATGTCTTTCCAAAAGATGGCTGTGACTGAAGCAGGAGACTTGTGCCAAAAGGGAAACACATGCAATTATCTCAGGGATGGTAACTGTAAGCATTAACCTTGATAAAAACATGAATAATGAGAAAAGATTTGGGATTTCTAAAGGCACTGTGAGGAGCACACGAGCACTTCCACAAGGCTGGGCTAAGGGTCACCTGCAGGTGACTTTCTGGGGCTGGGCACTGGAGCACTGCCCTCCACAACCCTTCAAGGAGAGGCAGGAGCAGATTTTTGGTTTGGATAAAAGCACCATAAGATGTCCAGTGATTGCAGCTTCATCCAAGGGATGCCTGCTGGCTTCCAAAGTCAACAGCCTTCCTGCCAACAAAATTGCCAGATGTCCATTCAGAAATCGTTTGGATTTTTAAGTGTGTAAGAGACATTTTTGCCTAAGTGTCTCTTTATCTGTGTTCTTCCTGCATGAAAACACAACAGATAGGTAAGATCAAGAGATTTCCAATCCAAGAAGAGCACTGGAAGCACAGCACAGAAACAACAGTCTGCAGGGGCTCACGGCTACTGGTTGATCATGATGGCCATTGCAGGGGAGAAATGCTCCTGCTTCTTGAGAACTGCCAAGGAGGTTTGAGAGGAGAAGATGCGGATCCCAAACCTTAGGTAGTGTCAAAGGAAAACAAAGCTGGTAGAGAAGTGCCACATGCCAGAATATTTCCTGCCACCCTCAAAGACTGGAGCTTCTGCAGTACAGAATATCTTGCAGCATAGATAGATGATGGATGACAGCCTCAGAGGTCAGCGAGATGAGTCCAAAGGCAATGATGCTCTCACTGAGTTTGGCTGTGTTGTCACCAAGAGGAACACACAGTGTCCCTGCAGGTGCCTTGCACTTCAGTGATGTTCCAGCACAGCCTGCCCACCTGTGAATGGGTTGGGGGAGAGCCTGGGAGACTTTTTAGCAAAACACAGCCCTGACACACAGGAGGTATTTGGGAACTCTTGCAAATCCTTTCTAAATCATTAAATTTTTTAAATCTGATTAATATTATACTAATACTTTGAGATCAAGCATGACTTAAATCTTGGGCAGCAATGGGGGAAGGTCATGCTGCAAGTGGAAAACCAGCTGCAAGGAGCTGCAGGTGCCTCAAGCAGAATTAAACTTGAGTGCCATCAGTGCTGCAGCATTGCTCCCTGTGTGTCCATGTGTTCTTTTATGGTCCCAATGCCACTGTCAGAGCAGGTGCAAAGGAAAAGAAGAAAAAGAAACAAAATTAAAGTAGCCCTCCATAACAATCCACTCATAACCAAAGCCCCTTTGTGTGCTGGTTAAGTAAGAATTTATTCTTCCTTTCTCCAGAACCTCTCTGGTGCTCGGGGGCTAATTGCTTTGTGTTCATCCCAGTTCCTGGACTGCATCCCAGCAGGCTCTATGGCAGCCAAATCCTGATCTGTTTTTCCTCTCTACTCCTTGCAGTGTGATGGGACTTGTTGGCGCTCGCGTGGTTTCCTACAGTTGTCTCCATGCTGTGACAAGGGAGCCTCATGCTGCCGGGTTTCCTCCCAGTGAGGAGCCAGGGCTGGTGGGACACCGTGCTGAACTGGGGAGCCATGAGGAGAGCTGGGAGCATTGCTGCACCCTGCCTGCCTTGCCACCGCACAGAGGACCACGGCTTTACCCAAAGAAATGTAGTCACAGCAAGTGATTCCTGGCTGCCGTGCAGAACCTCAAGCACACCCCCAGCATGCATATTTATGATCCCAATTATCACCAAACAAAAAACACAGGTTGCTGTGTAAATAACTGATTTTTAATCTAAATCGCCCAGCTTACATACTTCACCCAGCCCTGCTCAGCAGAACAGCTGGTGTTTACCAACTTCTCATTGCTTTTCCAAGCAACGTGGAAAGACGCTGTCTGCAGAGTCACAGCTGCCCCTGAGATAAGGAGAGCTCAGGTTTGCCTCTGCCCCAGACACTGCTCCCTCACATCCTGACGAGCCCTGGCAGCAAGGTGTGCCCAGCAGCACTTCTCTGCTGACATGTGGGGCTAATAAATGATGCCCTACCCAGCTGCACAGTGAGCACGGGCCTCCAGCAGAGCCCTCTGAGCTGCTCTGTGCTCCCTGCAGGGCTGCAGGAGGGTCAGCTGGGGTTAGTTATTTTGGTTAGGGTTAAGGTCAGGGTTAGGGGGCAAGTGCAGAGCCTTGGGAGGGGAGAGATGGCTCCTACCCATGTCACTCAAGTTCAGACTTCCCTCCCAAGCAGCAGCACTCCCCCACCCAACTGTTGGACCCTGACATACTCAGAGGTTTTCTACCCCTTGACTGTCCCAGGGGGACCTGAGGTCAGCAGTGGGTGAAGACTGTGTCTGGTACAGTTGGGGATAGGAAGGTCTCTCCACCTAGCACAGGCAGTGAGGATTTGCAGTACTGTGCAATGAGGGAATGCTGAAAGGTGCCTGCTCGTAGTGGCTATTACTGCTGGGTGTTCTATTTCTGCAAGAAAGAGTAGTTTCCAAGTAATCCAAATAACTCTAGCTATCATTATGCTTCTGTCCATATCTATATTTGCAGTTACAAATACTTCCTTTTTTCCTAGTGCCTCTGGAGGCTAACATCGGAGCTACAATGAGCCAGGAATTATTCTTATCATGGTATTTCCACTGCCCAAGAATGAGCATATGTTAAAGAAATCCAGTCCCTCTTTATTCCAGGATTTAAATGGCCCCCTGAGGCACCAAACAGCCAGATTTGGCTTTACGTGGGCTTGCATGGTGGCTGGCAGTGCTGATGCTGGCGGTTCCTTCAGTAGCACTCACTGAATGTGAGGATGTGAGAAGACTTTATCTACCCTTTCCCCTAATTTTTCCTCTGTCTGCCCATAATGACATTCATGCTGATGGAGGAGGGCTGGGCACTGGTGACCAGTGTCTATAGGATGGACATTGACAGCCCAGCTCCTCCGCCACAGCTCTGATCTGCCTCTGCGCCCTGCAGCACCTTGGGTTGCACACCTCCTGCACGATCACTGTGCTCTGCACACACACAGGGCTTCTCCTTGGTGTGCCTAAGGGACAGCCAACTCCCAGCCCTGTGTCCCAGGGTGATGGATGTCATGCCAACACACCCGGGAGGAGCAGAGGATGATAACCCCCAGCCCAGCTGCTCCAGGACCTGATCAGGCGAGGTCACCTCTTCTGCCGTAAAGACCCCAAAGCATCTAATTCTCCTTGGCACTTCTCTCCAGGCAAGGAGAATTCTCCTCTGTGGCTGGAGGAACCCTGGATCCTCAGCCTCCAATGTCTTCAGACACAGGAGCTGGTAAGCACCAAGTTTCACGGTGTTGTTATGATGTTTAATCAGTACTTGCTACCTTGACCTCTCATCTCACCAGGAAAACAGAGCTGCTGTGTCAGTGTGAGTGACCAGTTTTGTGCAGAAGAGAGCTGGTGGATGAAGGAGAGGGAAAATGGTGTTTTATGGGATGTTCTCAAGGAGTGAGTCTCCCTTACCCCCAGGCACCACAGAATCATTTGCTGTGATTTAAAGAGCACGCATCTGGTTAAAAACAGTGGGCCAGACCTACAATCCCTACATGTTTGACTCCATGGAGGTTAGCTGGTTTAGATCAGCTGAAACACAGACCCTCTATGTTTAAACAAAGCCCTTATTTTTTCACTGGTGCTCAACAGAAAGTGACCTGCCTTTAGTGTAGATCTGTGAGGCCATGGCCCCATGCAGCTGTGCCCCCATGCACAGTTCCTGTCCCACAGTGCTGCACTGCTCAATGCACCGGCAGCTGAAGCCCTGGGAAAGCAGGACCACAGAGGGTGCTGGGCCAGCAGCCTTGTGGTGACCTCGGGCATCATTTCAGGGACCACAAAGCCAGTGCTGAGCACCAGATGTGTGCACAGCTGGGCTGCATGCAGCTGTGCAGATTTTGGCCTCTCTGGGTGAGCACCGGGCACCTGATGTGAGCCCATGGAACGAGCCAAAGGGATTCCTTGCACTGCCTCCCCCAAAACCTCACTGTATTTCATATGGAACAGAGATTTACTTCTTCTGAGCATAGGGCTGAGGTTCTTCAATGGCAGGAACGTATGATAAAGAAGCCGTATATTCACTGCCCCAATGACAGATGCTCACAGATTTTGAAAGGGGAAAATGAAATCAGCGTTTTCAAAGTGCAGCGAGGAAATAAATGTCCTGCGTTCAGCATTTACAAGCAGCGGACCACGTAAGTCAGACGGGGTGCCTTGCAAGAGGCCCCTTTGTGAAGCCCCAGCGGGCTGCCAGCCTTCGGTCCGAGCTGCAACCGCGGGGCTCGGTTGCTCCCTGGCGGTGAGCGGCCGCCTCGCTGCCTCCTGGCTGCCTTCCCCTCCCCGCCCCGTACGCTGTGTTTTCCCGTTCCTATCCCTGCTTCCTGCTGTGGGAGGGCGGCTGTGCTTTGTATCACAGTGCGGGGCACAGACCCGCACGGAGCAGACAGCACAGAAAACAGCCAGGATAAATAAAGAGCTACTATTCCAGTTAATACACGCTCGGGTCAGAGTCCCATGTGGGGATGGGCAGCACCTTATTATCATCCCCATCGCACACAGCTGCACTCCTGCTCCAGCACCAGCTGCTGGGGCCTCATCCTGCCCCGCTCTGCCTGCAGTGCCATGCACACATAAATGTGGGCAGGGCCTCAAGTCCCTCATGTGATGGGCACAAGAAACCAAAACGCTGCTGGTGGCAGGACCTCTGCTGATTGCTGCTTCTGGAGAACATGTGGATCATGAGCATCTCATGGTGACACGTCCATTTGATCAGACAATGTGGCCTCCTTCACTCAGCCACCTGGCCCGGTACGTGGCACAGCCTGGCACGTCCACGGGTCGCTGCAGGGCTCTGGAGATGTTGGCCAGCTTGGTACCAATGAGGCCCTGCAACTCCACATCTCCCAGCTCAATGGCTGCAGCGAGGGCCAGGAGGAAGTAGGCTGCTGCGTCCTGTTCATCCTAACCATAAAGAACAGAGTGTTAGGAAGTAGTTTAATGTGAGGTCATAGGGTGCAAGGATGCTGCAGAAGAGCCCAGTGGTTCTCCAATGGCAGGAATGTATGATAAAGAAGCCATATATTCACTGCCCCAATGACAGATGATCACAGAGTTTGAAAGGGGAAGAGACAGAACCCGATGACTTGAGTGTCGTGGGCTTCAATTGAGTGAAACGGGCTCTGCACAGCCAGTGCAAAGGGTCAGCACATTTCTTCCCACACTGCCTCTCAAAGCCTGGAGATGCCAGCATTGTGTGTACTTATTCTAAAGCTGCCTACAAGGGTGGCTGCTCTGCTGGCAGATGTGGTTTTCCACCTCCAGCCCCCTGTCATAGAATCCTAGAATGACTTGGGTTGGGAGGGACCTTAAAGCCCATCCACTTCCAACCGCTGCCGTGGGCTGGTTGTCTCTCACCTGATCAGGCTTTGCAGGGCCCCATCCCACCTGGCCCTAAGCACATCCAGGGATGGAGCACTCACAGCTCTGGGCAGCAGTGCCACTGCCTCACCGCCCTTTGGGTAAAGAATTTCTTCCTAACTCTAACCTGAATTTCCCCTCTTATAGTTTAAAGTCATTTCCCCTTGTCCTATCACTGTTAGACCAAGATCAAGATCTGAAAGCTCAAAGCAGCACCACAGAAAGCGGCTTCCTACCTTCAGCTTGTGCAGGGTCAGGTTGCCAAGGTGGCAATACACCTTGCAGTAGTACAGGGCTTCTCCAGAGCACTGCAGCATGGGGGGATGCAGGGCAAGTGTCTTCAGGTAGCAATCTTCAGCCATCTCATACATCTGCAGAAAATAGTAGACTGTAGCCAGGCGGTGGAATGCAACCAGCTCTTGCAATTGATCTCCTAGAAAAGAGTTGCTGATATAGTCAGCCTGCAGCATGCTCACAAATCATTCCCAGCCCAGCACACCGAGCTGCATTTGATCAACAGCCCTGGGGCATAGATCTCTTCATAAGGAGACACTATGGTTGAAAACAGTCCAAAGAAAACAAAGCCAAGGGCAGGGCTGCTGATACCAATGCAAGACAAGTTGCCCAGGGAGTGTATCATTCAAAAAGGGGATTTCTTGGTGCTGGAAAGTGTTATGACAAGACTGGTTTCATCTCAGACATTTATGCTGACATAATGCTGGCCATTAGACCTACTTCTGCAGTGGAAAGAGGGTTTATTGGGTTTATTGGAACAGCTAGGGCAAAGAGGAACTGTTGAGTCTCATGCCTTCATCAGACTTCCTGTGCTCTGGTATAGCAATAGCCCTCTGCCCAGCAGTGCCCCCACTCCTGTGGGACTGTCACACAGTTTAAAAAGGGAAGTGGCCTTAAAGAGATGTTACCCTTAGGATAAGAATAGATCCAGAGCACTTATGAAAGCAGGAGTATCTTCCCTGCATGTGCATGCTGCTCTTACCCAAAAGCCAGCCCGCTTTGCCAGCAGCTCCGTGTACCCTTGGGTTTGCATCACTCACCCACCCTGATGCTCAGCCTGGCTGCCAGCGTGGCAAACTCCAGCGCCTTCTCATAGCCCTGCAGCCCGATCTGCAGCTCCGTCAGCTTATTGAACAGCCGCAGCTCTGTCTCAATGGCTTGCAGCTTCCTGGCCAAGGGCACTGCACCACCCTGGTAAGAGAACAGTGAGTCTGGTGTGTTCCTGGAGGTATGATTACAGCACTGCCCAAGGAAGGGTGGAAATGCAGCAAGAGATGAATTGAGCCCTTGGCAAGGCAGACAGACAATGGGGTGGCTGGGTTCTGGGCATCCCAGTTCTAACCCTTAACATGAGTTCGATATCCCAGAGTATGGTCCTCAAAAGCTGAGCCTCTCATCTCTACCTTTCCTTAAGTGCATGAAATTCCGGCTCTGAGCACATACCCAGAATGACCATCCCACATCTAAAGCTGCCAGGATTGGTAATGCACAACCCTGCTCCCACCCTGCAGAATGACCTCTGGGGAGATCTGCAGCTATTGCAAAATGGGTCTGTGCTCTGAGATGCCTCCTAGCAAAGTTTACGCAGATGCACACTCAGAATTCTGATAATGTCCCTCTCCACCTTCCGCCCCATCCCTCCATCCTGGCCACACAGTGCTGCAGCTCCCCATGGTCGTCACCTAGAAGGGACATAAGGAACATGCTCAGAGGGGTCAGTACCCTGTAAAACTCCACTGCTCGATCTCTGTGCCAGCTGCCATTAAAAAAGTTATCGCCTGCTTTTTCATAGAGATCCATGGCCAAGGAGAAGTTCTCAGCTTTCAGAGCAGTCTCAATAGCTGCCTAGAAGGAAAAGGAACTGGAGTGAGACTTGGAAAGGGACATTCACACACAGATTTTAGAGCGATGAAGTAAACCACATCATCCTGCACTTGAACCTCAATGCTCCAAACAGCACAGACACAGGTTGGCAAGGTGTGTGAGACTGTCATGCTGCATTTGTAAGCAATATGTGAGGGTGGAGCCAAGAGCTATACGTGTCCCTGTGCAGGGTCAGAGTGCCAGACTGACCAGCTGGGGCATCCCATGAAATCAGGATGAGAGTCAGGGCAGCCACAGCCTGCCTGCTCTGTCATTACAGTGGTGGAGGCAATGTTGAGACTGGCAAGGTGAAGAGATAACCAGGACAGGGAAAAGGTAGAGCCAGTGGGATGGGAATGATGGAAGGTATACGAGCTTCTGGGAAGAACAGATATTTGTGCCAATTGTACACCCTGCCATGATGCCATCCTCCAGCCAGAGCATACCCCTTCCATCATTACAATCTGTCAGTGCCACTGACCATGATAGCTCAGTTGCCCAGTCACCAGTTCAGTAATGCCTCCAGGGTAACAGAGTGAGGACCCAAAGCATCCCTTATGTGTGCTCAGACTGGTGATTTTCTGGACCCCAGTTCAGTGCAATGCCAGCAGACCCAGCCAGCCTTCTGCTCAGCTTTCTCTGAGCATGTGGAAGGATTTTGTATCTTTTAGTAGAAACTGCTCTTTGAATGATGGAGCTCTAAAATTTTTGTGGAAGCTTTTCCTCTTTGCAGCTCATCTGATAGAATAATGTTGCAGATGGAAAGAAGCCAGTAGCCTTCTGCTCCAAGAAGTCTTCAAGCACTTCTCTGGCACCTCAACCCTCATCTATGTGCATTTCAATGGGAACTCATCACCTGGCACTTTCTTTGACACCCTCTCATCACTTTCTGTCCCAATGAATTCACAGACTTTCACCCAAGAATCCTCTAAAACCCGTGTATGAAAGGAAAGTTAGGACATTTAATGCCAGATAGTGCATGAATGCTAAGGCAGCAGCTCCTCCTTCCAGCAGCAGGTGTCCTATGCTCATGAGAAGAACTTTCCCTTCCAAGTTTTCGAGCCCCAAATGGCTCCTGCTGAGTTGTGATGGGAATGCAGCACCATTGGTGCTGGGAATGGGATTACTCCAGACACCTCCCTCATACCTGAAAGTACATTTCCACCAGCTCGTCTTCCTGCATGAGATAGTACAGCCTTCCTGCCTGCAGCCAGGCCTCTGCTGCCTTGCCTGTCTCCTCAAGGTCAATGAAGATCCTCAGACTCTGTTTGGTGCAGTCCAGCGACTGTCTCAAAGCCCTGTGATGGTAACAGGTAAGAAAACACTACAGAGGAATCACAGAATGACAGCAACCAGCTGCAGAGCTGCCACCACACCTTCACTTCCCAGCCAACGTCTGCCACCCAGAACCAAATCTGTGACTGTTGTTTGTCCCTTGGTGCTGGCAGAAGGACAGTTCTGTGCCACACATGCAAGGCCAGCTGTCTCCTTCTCAAGCCCAGTGCCATTAGAGGACAAAGGGCAGGCAGCAGGACGAGGTGTTAGGTTGGACATGCTGTTTGCAGAAGGTGGCTGCGGCCAGGGGTGGGGGCAGTGCCCAGGACATGTTTGCTAGCTTGGTATCTTGCTTGAAACTGTGCTCCAGCTGTCCTTCCAGGGACCTGGGTGCTTTGGAACTGAAATAGCATTGCTCACATGACAGGCGTCTGCTTCCTAAATTCCTTCCCTCTGAACTCACAGTGACCCAGAGTGGGAAGGTGAACGTCCAGTTAGGGACAGCCCCTGCCCACTTATCCTCCTGGGACACAGGGGCCAGCCCTCCACTGTTTGACATGTCTGCCTTGAAAAACTGAAGAAAGCCTGTGATTTATCCACATCTTCTTCTTCCCTTCTGCCTAAACTAATCCATCACCTGCATGTGTCAAACAGGAGATTGAAAGGTGAGCTGATACGAGGTCTGAAGTGTATTCTTGGGGAAAATATTCTAGTAGCAATAGGAAGGGCAAGCTCAGTGGCTGGTGGCTGAAGCCAGGGTTATTTAAATAACAGATAAGGAGTCTATTTTTACTAGTGAGAGGTGATTAATCACGGGGATAAGCCTCCAAAGGAAGTGATGAATTCCCTGTCACTAGGTCCCCTCTGAAGAAGGCTGGATGTCTCTCCGGAAAGCTATGTTTGGCCATCCCCCAGTTTTATCCCAGCTAGCAGCACAGCATTTGCTGGCTGTCCCTGCGATCTGGCTGACATTGAGCTCTTCCTGCAGAGCACAGGGAAGCTCCCAGATCTCAGCCACTCACCACCCACCACCTGCGAGCACCCCACCTCCCTGCAGGGACTCTGCTGTGAACACCATGGAAAAGCCACTGCTCTTGCATGGATGAGCGGAGACCCCTCTCTAACAGCATCTGCACAGGAAACAGCCACGCTCAGGACTTACTCAGGGGTGCCCAAAGCCTGATAGAGTTGGCTGAGGGTCTGCTGGACATTGCCTTCTAGCTCTCTGTCCTGGAGTTTCTGTGCCAAGGAGACCCGGTGCTCGTGGTAGGTAATGCAGGCCTGGAGGCTGGGGCACACTTGGCTGTAGAAATGGCAGAGTGCCTCAGTGACATGAAGCTGACCTGCATGGTAGAGGGAAAGAGACAGCTCAAAGGGCTGTGTTGGGGATCTGATCGAGTTCTGCACTGAGGCAAGCACTGCCCCATCCCTGCCAGAAAAGCTGTACTCACTCCTCATGTTGTGCCACTTCAGGGCAAAAACCAGCGCAAGTTCATAACAGAGTTTGCCATCTTCCATCCTCTGCCTGCTGACCATGGCCTGTGCCAGCCACAGCAGCACATGCACCGACTCCAGCTCCAGCTCCTCGCTGCCCTGCAGCTCAGCATACAGCTGGGCAGCCTGCAGCAGGTAGAGCTCAGACAGCTGACTCGCCCCACACGACTGGCTCAGCTGCCCCAGGTTGGCCAGGGCGATAGCCTGATTCCTCTTGTTCCCAGTCTCCTTGGCTTTGTGCAGTGCCCGGATGTAGTTCTCTGTGGCCTCCTGCACCTGCCCTGCTCCTCTGAGGGCAATGGCGAGGAGGTTGTGCACCGCTCCACCTTGAGTCACACTGTCTGTCCCATGCAGGGAATGTAGGAGCTGCCCCATGATGTCTGCGGCCGGGCCTGGTTGGCTGCTCAGAAGGTACATCCACCCCAAAGAGAGGGAGGACTCAAAAGCCTCCTCCTCACCTATCAGCCTGCTGAAGACCACAGCCTGGGCTGCATAGCACACCGCCCCGTCCAGCACACCGTGCTGGAGGTACATCCGGGACAAAACAGTGCACAGAGTCCTCTGGGTGGTCACTGCTCTGCTCTCGCAGGAGAAGTGCAGTGCTTGCTTGAGGTAGGAACACACCAAGGCTGGGATGCTGCTCCTCTCCAGCTGGCTTCCCAGGAGCTTGGACACATTTTGGAGGATGAAGCCAGCTTTCCAAATAGGCGTTGGTGCCCCTTTGATGCCACTGGGAACAAAAGACCTGGCAGATGCCAGTGCAATGTTTGGCAAGTACTTCTTGTCATACAGATAGCTCAGGATGGGGGTGGCATCCAGCGGCACAGCACTAGCGTCCAGGCTGAGTGAAGTGGTGCAGAGACATTGAAGGTGCTCAATAAAGGGCAGTACTTCGTCATTTTTTCCCAGCTGGAGGAAGAGCTTGACAATAAGGAAGCAGACCCGTGCTTCCAGAGGAGTGTTCCCCACAGCAATGGCCTCCCTCAGAACGTACATCATGACCCTCAGCTCGTGCTCAGAGCTGAAGGAGCGGCTGGGCAAGCAGACAAGCAAGGCCACCATTTTTCCCAGCAAGGAGAAGAACTTGCTCTTCATGTTCTGTTTCAGGTAGATGGAAGCAAGGTTCACGTGCAAGGCAGCCAGCAGGGGCAGGTCCCCGAGGCCCCTGCCCAGGGTGCTCATGGCTTCCTCAAAATAGACTCGAGCCTGGGAGAACTTGACTTTTTTCATACAGAGCTTACCCAAGAGGAAACAGAGCCTCACATGGGCCCAAACTGAATGAGTCCTCTTGGCCCAGTTCCTGGATGTCTCAAGGTACAAGACCAGTTCATCCTCATCAGAGAAACCATAAAAAGTGGAGTTGAGAAAGGAGAAACTGAGGTCATAGAGGCTTTGATAACAGAGCATGTAACTGTCTTGGTTAAGGAAGGTCAGTATGGGTTCAAAGACATCAGCATCTTCCATGTGTCCAGCATTCAGGTCAATGAAGAACTTGGGATCATCAAAATCATTCAGCTTGTCCAGGAGAACATCTTCCCATGTAGCAGGGGCTGACTCACTCCCTGGGCTGGACTGCTCCGAGGTGCTAGCTGTGACCAAGCTGTTTATCTCCTCCCAGGACTGGAGCAACTGGGTGTCCTTACAGCCATGGAGAACAGCCTCTGGAAGGAGATAGGAAAACTACAGTGGGACACTTCTCCGTGTCAGAATTCACTCTCTGGCATCACTGTAAAGACATTCTCCATACACTCACCTGATGGCGCTTTCGGGAACATGGCTGTGGGTTCAAAACCATCTACACAAAGAGACAAAACAAACAGCCCATAGGCTTGATTAGTGTCAGTGCGCAGACACAGCACTCAAACCTGCCCCAGACCCATGTCTCAGAGAGCAGGGTCACTTCTGGCCACAGACACCACATGAAGCTGCAGTTTTAGCCCCTTTATATTCTGGAGTTTGGCCTAGTGCACAAGCATGGAGAAAAGGCAGAGCTGTGCTTTCCACGGGAGCAATGGAGCTTAGTAAGGAGAGGGAACTCACCCAGGCGGTACACAGAAGTGATGTCAGTGCGTGCCAGCTCTCCGAGGAGGGTGGCAAAGTGCTGCTCACCACCGTTGCAGGGGATGCGCAGGAGGGGCAAGTTTTCCTCTTCGCTCAGAAACACCAATCCCTTTTCTCTAGGTTAAGGTGTGTAACATGGAAAAACAGTCAGTGTCTCTGCTGTTCTGTAGTGTTAGAGAAAATTGCCTGAGATTTATCTTGAGTGAACCTGACCCAGGAAAGCCCAACAGAAGCAGACAGACCTAGCAACAGCTTAAGAACTCCTTAAGAACTCCATTCCTCCATATGTAGTCTTGGAAGAGAAGCCTTTTTGGATGGGTATTGAACTGGAGGTGTCTTTAAGCCAGCAACAAAGACAGCTGTTGTGTCCTAAGAGTGCAGTTGCCAGCCATGCTCCTCAGATAGCCCTTGTCCCTGACCCTAGCCTGGCATTCAGTTCTGTTCAGTGAGGAACTGTGCCAGTAGCTGCACCCCACAGAAGGCAAGGGGGCAGAAGGAAGCAAAGAAAAATTCTGTTTTCTGAGCAATTATCAGAGCCCCCATCCTTGCCAGACTCACAGCCCCTCAGAGAAAAGCTACTAGGACAAGAACATTTCTGATTGAGACTGTGAAGCAGCTCATCTGGTACACAGATGTCCTGGGATGCCTTATCCAGCTCTAACCCAGAGCCAGACATTTTCCTCTCCAAGAATCACCTGAAGCAAGTGAAATATGATGGCTTTGTCTGGGCAGAGACTCCTGCAGCCTGTTGGCAGAACAGCCTGGGTGAGGTTTCTGGACAGACCTCACGTGGATCCTCTACAAAGTCTTTGCAAAGCAAACTACCCGCCCTGGACTCTCATAGCCTCGAGCTGGGACTCGGAGTTGACCCATCTTTTCCACCCAACTTGAAATTCAGATAGCAACAGTAAACTTACAGAGATTCACAAGCCTCAGCATTTACGGATTGCACTGGGACAAAGCCGATGTTCCCACTGCTTAAAGATCTGCCCACAAACCACGGGAGTCCTGGGAGGAGGAAGCCAATGACTTCTATGCTGTCTCCCTTGGAGAAACTCAGTTCATCCCATGCTGCTCCTCTGTGATCCACTGTGGCTGTGCACTTGCCTTTGACTGGGAAACAAAAGCAAACAATGGCATTTCATTGTGAGGATCACTGTTAAAACTTCCTTGCTCGAAAAGACTTAGGTGAAAAGAGCATGATGTCATCTTGAGAAGACTGCCTCTCTGTTCCCCAAGATTTGTTGTGCTCTCAGGCTCAGACCTCTACAGTTTCTTCTTGAGAAAAAATATTTTGATAAAATATACAGAAGGCATAGGTAAAACCCCACAAAGCCAAAGAGTGAAACCTCTGGGAGCTGCACTAGTGAAGGCAGCTGGAAAAATGAAGTTGCTGTAGTTTCACAGGAGATGGACTGTCAACTTTCTGCTAGGAGTGAAATCCTTAACAGTGAATGTCTAGGAGAATGTGAGGATGAAATACTCCTGTGCAGCACCTCACAACGTGGTGCCATTGTCAGATCAAGAGATGGACCCTTTGCATTTCGGACCAAACCCAGGTCTTTATGAGCCATGTCCATCCCTGGGAAGGGCAGCCACCCTACATGGTTATCACTCACCAATTGGCTGAGAGGTTGACTCGCTGATCTCCTTGGAGATGCCAAAACTCATGGTGTAATTCCTCAGGAACCACCTGTAAAGTAAAAGGGAACCTTGCTGATCCTCTCCAAGCAGCCTTCAAACCACTCCCAGGGATGGTCTCACACAAGCAGAGCAGATGGACAGTACTGCCAGTCCAGCCATGCCTTGCCATGGTGGTATGGGGCATGGAGGGCAGCTCGCATCTCCCCTGTGCAGCTTCACACCTTGTGGAAAGTATAGGATGATTTTGCCAGCCCATAAGGAGGATTTCACCAGTAAAAGTATAAGATCTGTGCATATCTTCATGACTCAGCAAGGTGTGCAACATCAGGCCACATTTTGACCGGCATTACTTAAGATTCGGGATGTTTTTTAGTTATCACAAGTAATACTGTGTATGACCTAAATCAATACTATACAAGAATGGTACCTGAACTAAGTCCTTGCTCTATCCCAATAACAGAACCTGAACTGGTTCCGATCATCTCAATGCATAGTGCATATTCTCAAGGTTATAGGGCTCTTGCCCGATGCCAGAGGTAAGAGCAGCTCCTCTGTTGTCCTGATTTGGTGTTAGCTGTGAGTCGGGAATGGATGCTTGGCTTGAGCACCATTGATTGCCTGTCTTACTACTTCTACTTACTGGTAGAATGGGTGAGGTACTGGCTCTAGGGCAGTCACAGGCACCAGGCCTCGTTGGCCTGTCAGCAAGGACATCCCTTCCCATTTGGACTCCTCTCCAATGTTCTTCACATGGACCAGCTCATTCCTGCAGAACTGCAGGCCTTCCTCTCCCTCCCTTTCTGGCTGGCATGCACCAGGCACTGCTCTGGAAAAAAAGTGACCTGTGGATAGAAAGAGTCATGGCCAGGTCAGTGGCATTGGTGCAAGGCAGAGCCCAGAAGAGGGCTACACCACAGCCCTGCAATCCCTCCTCACCTTCCTGGAGCAGCAGACCCAGATATATGGTGGCCAAGCAATTTTCATCCATGGACACTCTGATCTCCGTGTCCTCCACCAGTGCACAGTTCAGCCAGTACTCCTGCTCAAAGAGAAGCTGCTCCAAGCAGCGGCCTACATAGCCTAAAAACAGAGGGGAAGCAGCATCAGCACCCTGCTTTGCTGGGCAGCACAAGCTGCTCTTCGGTTGTCTCCCAGTCTGCCATTTGCAACAGAGGTGCAATAGAGGAATTACCCAAAATACAACCTCCCAAATCTTTATCACTGTTCCAGAGAGTGGTTTTGTGAATCTGTGCAAGGCCCTTTGATTAACATTCCTTTAAGCTCTTCTCTCTGTTACACTGCTTTTATTTGTTGTCACAGAATACCTTCTCCAAAAAGGCTCTTCACACTTTTTTTTTTGTATCCACCCCGCCTTGAAAACATTACCTAAAGTTAAATATGTGGAAAACTTCCAGACTTCTTCCAGGGTTCTGAAGGTGAGAAGGAACCGATCTTCCTGCGCCTGTATGCACAGCAGCCTGGCTGATAGCTCCTACATGGACACAAAGCAAGACTGAAGGGCTGGGAGTTGAACATGGGGTCTCCTTTGGCAGTGTGGCAAGAAAATCAGACCCCGGGGTGTAGCACACGCTGGGGAACTTCCCAGTGGGTTGGGTGTCCCATCACACATCCATGCCATCAGGCCAGGAGTCCCCCTGTGCCGTGCTCTTCTCCTACCTTGAACAGAGCACAGACATGTCTGTCGTCACTCTCCAAGGCCCACAGCTTCCTTCTGGCTGCTTCCTGCAGCTGGGCATTGGGGCACTGTGAGGAGCGGCTCTCAATGGAGAAGAAGAGTGAGATCTCTTGAAAAAGAAATGTGCAGGGTTAGAGGGGAGGAGAAACTCCATGCAATACATCAGCATCATAGGGCTCAGCCTGAGGTAGTGTGAACCAATCCCATCCTCCTCATCCAGACACATGGATGAGGAACTCAAGGGGTGACTGTGCTTGGTTAGCACAGTGCTAGGCTGCTGTAAGTTGCTGGAGATATTGGTGATGCTGAAGGCAGCACCTTACCTGGCGGAAAGCCCTCCCCAGCTGCCAGCAGCACTGAGGAGGGCTCTGGGGAGCCTTCTGCTGCCTCAGCTGGGCTGCTTGGCTCTGACGCTCCTGCCTTGCCTACACAGGAACACAGAGAAGCCACTGTCAAGTTTTGTGGTGGAATCTTGAACATTGTGCCTAAACACAACACTTGAAAGCAAAGTCCATGGGCCATGCTGCATGTCTGGCTGGGGAGCTGCATGAATCCGGCATCACCCTAAAATGATGCTTGGGGCTGGATGCAACATTACTGTGTGCTACCTACATGATAGCTGTGAGCATGCTCCTTCCCAGAGATGGAGTGGCCTTGAGGTAAGGACTTTCCCTCCTTGCTCTAGGGACAGGTCCTCCCAGGGCAGATCTGGTGATCCCATAGCAGAGAGGTTTTTTGAAGATCTCCCACAGCACAGGAGGGCCAAGAACTTTCAGATTCTTTGCTCATCAGACAGTCAAAATGTCTGATGTCAAAATTCTCTCCTGCCTGCTCTGGTTGGTATCTGAAATCCAAGCTGCTTTCTCTCTGCTTCACACATCATCAACTATTGCCACAGACGATTCAGGAGAGGAAACTTTAGCTGGTATCTATGTTAATGATGACTGTGGCACGTAAAAATCCATCTCACTCTTCCACAGCTGTATTGGCTGTGGAGGGGTAACAAGATTGAAAAGCAGTTATTGTCAGCAATCAGATAGAGCTCACTAGACAAACATACCCAGAGATCTGAACTGGGCAATGGTTAGTGGGCAATACCGGAGGTAGGGGGACAGTTGGATTAGATGATCTTAGAGATCTTTTTCAACCTTAATGATTCTATGATTCTATCTGGAGCTGGAACAGTGCAGTGACTTTTCTAAATCACTTTTGTCACCATATTCTATAGTCTTTATTATTTAGCCAGCTTTGCTAGGCAGTCAAATAAACTGTTATTTCCACAATAGAATTATAATCCTTACATATAGTCAACAGCAAAGAATGGCCCAAGGCTGGACATGCGATTAATGGGCTTTTCTTTGAAAGAAAATCCTCTACATTTCTCAACAGCTGATGTGAGAGCTCTTAACAAAGGACTTCATCCAGGAACTCCTTGGGGCGGGGGCGGGGCCCACCCCAACCCCGCCCCTGCATGGGGAAATGGAGGCTGGGAAGCAAAAGGAGACGGAGGCAGAGCTGAAACAGAGTGCCTGCTGCCAGGGCTGGGCTGTGCCTCCTTCCCACGTCCCTCCCTTCCCCTCACCCACGGCCCAGCAGCCCCTCAGCATGGTTTTTCCTTCCCAAGGACAGGTACCTGATGCCATGGTCTTCTCCCACCACCATCGTCCCCGGCGCTCGGCTGCGCTGTGCTGCAGGCGATCCCAGTGTGGCAGAAGCAGGGGCGAGCGGGGACAGCAGGACTCACACTCCTCAGCTGGGGGAGAGGAGCAGTGGGGAGAGGCATTTAGACCCCGGGTGGGATGCTCCCAGCCCAAGGGCTCTCGTGGCATCTGAGAGGCAGCCGAGGTGAAGGAGGGGGCAGGTGGGGCACTGCTCATGCTGGCACTGCCAGCGGTGCAACCAGGCATGCTGGGGCTCCCCACTGAGCAGGCCAAATGGACAGAGCAAGGGCTCCCGTGGGTGAGAGGAGAAGTGGGTTTGCTCCCAGCGGTGCTGGCTGCTGCTTCAGTGGTTATTTTCATTTGGGCTCGACTCAGAAAGGGAACTAGCGAATTTTTCAAGAGACCAATTGAAACTGCTGGTGGAGAGTTGTTCCTAGTTGTGCTATTGACTCATTTACCTCCCAAGTGCTGAAATATTTTGCAATATGGGGCAGGAAGCAGCCCCAGCCCCAGCTGAGAGTGTTTCCAGGCTCTCTGACCCCTCTCCTGGCGCTCCCTGGCTCTCCCTGCATTGCCAGCCTCCTGCAGGACCCCAGGGCCCTGCAAGCCTTCCAAACAAAGGAAACCAGCACTCAGCAATGAGACCTCCCCAGTAGCACCAGCAGCATGACAACCCTATGTCTCACAGACCCATTTGAACAGAGCAGGGCTGTGGCCTCCCAACAGATAGCTTACCTGTGCACCCCAGGGCCAGGTCCTGGTGCCAAGGGGCCCCCAAGCAGCAGCCCATGTGTCCAGCATCGCCAACAGCCCCAAGCCGGCAGGCTGCTGCTGTGCTGCCAGAGGAAGCGAGCCTCTCACCACCAGCTCTACTGCAGCTCAGCCCATCCACAATGTACAATGGGCTTTCAGAGCGGGCCCTGTGTGTCAGCAAGGCGGGGGCCGGGCACATCCCACCGGCCAGCATCACTGCCCCAGCGTTGCCCCAGGCTGTGCTCTCACCCTCGCCTTTGGGCGCCTGTCACCAGGCCCACGTGGCACATTCCTCTCATTCCTCCTGCTGGAGCACCAAGCTTCAGCCTGGCTATCGGGAGATCTGCAGCCCCGATCTTCCCCCAGTCCAAAGCACCCCACTCCCAGTGCCGCTGCGAGCACCCCTCACCTGCTGGCACCACCTGCAGCTCCTCCAGTGCCCTCCATCCACTCCTGCATTGCCTTCAGCTCATGGGCAGAGCTATGGCCCAGCGAGCTGCCCGTCTCCGCAACACAAAGAGCCGGCTCGCTCAGGGCTGGCAGGTTTGGTCTGTGATCAGCAGAGCTGTCTGAACCCCAGCATGAACCCAGGAGGACTGATCAGATGGCTGCGCACTCTCTGGGCTGCCCGTGGTGGATTCTGGCTCTCTCTTTGCTCACACGCTCTGACCCTCCCCAGGCTACAACAGTAGGACCCGCTGGGTGGCCTCAGTGTGCTACACGTGGCAGAGGTGTGCAAAGCATCCCCGGGAAAGGTCAACACAGCCCCTGCATGAAAGAAAAAAAACACCACAAAAGAAACTCTAGGGAGACAAATCACAGGTAGACTGGGCTTCTAAGAATGCACTTTTCCTTTAGGAAGGGGCTGACTGCCACCACGGCAATGCCTTGCTTGCCATGCAGCACCAAAACATTAGAACTGCCACCCATCCTTCTCACCCTCCCTGCTGCAGCCCTCAGTGCGAGTGCCAAACACCACTGTTATTTCCCAGCATGCCAACACTGAACTGATCCTTCCAGTGCAGAGGAGGACCGGCGCGAAGGTGAGCAGCTGGGACACACTCTGCCCCTGGCAAGGAGGCCGCCTGCTCCCACTGAACCATGTCCCAGAAAGCTCCGGATTTAGAAAATTCCTGCAGTCGACCTAGAGATGCACTGACACTGTGAGGGCTGAAGGAGGAACTGAGCTCCCAGCAAGGCTCCCAAAGCACCCAGGTTGCACACGCACAGCCCAAGTCTGTGCAATGCCAGGCACAGCTTTGCAATGAGGTTCTGCTGGTTTGGGGCTGCATCGAGGCATCTCTTTTCTAACAATCTTGTTGCTTCACACAGGGTGCTGTTTGTTTTAGCAATATCTACTTATAAATTGCTGTCAAATCCTTCTGCATGGAGGACAATACTGAAACAAAGATGTTATTTCATTTGTTGTTTTGAAATCTCTGTGCTTTTATCTAGACAACGTAGGGACCAAACCCACCCCTCTACAGGTAAAAGTAAACCTCATGTCTGACCTGGAATGTAATTTTCCTTTTGGCCAGCAGCCCAAACCGCTCCCAATGCACTCTCCCACTCAGTACCTCAGTAGCCCCAGGACTCGTGCACAGCCCTCACTGTTGCTGATACCAACCCAGCCTCCCAAATTAGGAGAGGCTGCAGAGCAGTGCTGTGGGATCCCATCTGGTACAGCCCACTGCTGACCCCCAGGGCCCCCCCTCTCTGTGCAGCCCCAGCAAGCGCTGCTGCCAGCTGTGTGTCCCTCCCAGGGCACTGAGTGGGAGGTGGGGGCTGCCCAGCACCCCTCACCCAGGGATGCAGCACTGCCAATCTCTGGGGCTGTCTGACAGCTGCATCCTCCTGGCACCAAATCCACTTTGCTAGATTTAGAGACTGCTGGTGTGATTTCTCCTTTCATTCTCCCATTGGCTCCTGAATACGAAAGACCTCAGACAAATTTACTCCTCTCTGGTGTGCTCACAACCCCCTTATCTGAACCCCAAACTCCACCAGGACTAATAATCCTAATATGGATCTACGCTTCTGTGTCCCCACACTGAGCTGCTCCAGGGACCTGCAAGAACTGCTTCCCAGCTGTGTTTGCTCAGCTGGGGCTGGCCAGCACCTAGCCAGCAAGGTATGGCCGTCCTGCCCCGTCCTGCCCCATACTGACCTGATCTGCAGGGCCCCACACTGTGTCCTCCTCACAGAACCTCAGCTCCCACCTCTCCACGTCAGGTCCCCCGTGTGTGCAGAGGTGCAGACGTGCCCGCGAGTGCGCCCAGCGCCGCCACTCCCTCACATGGGGAAAGGAATTTCTTCCCAGAGCCACTTATCGTCTCAGGAGCCTCTGTTTCCCAGCAGAGCAGAGGTCAGCACACTGCCCTGCCATAATCCACCCGGCACACTGGTGGGGCGCCGGCTCTGGGGAGAGCCCCACTGCTAATCCTGTGCCACATGGAAAACAACAGAAGGGTTAACAATCTCTTCCACCATTCCCGTTTCCTTTGGGGAGTGCGCAGAAGTTGACCATTCCGTGGCAGGTTCAAAATGAAGCCTCCCTGCTTCTCACTTTGTGCTCTAGAAGGGAACCTGAAAGAAAAAGGAAATCAGCCCCAGCCTGACGGCAGCAGGGACAAAGCAAACAAACGCGATGGAGCATTCTGTTTCAGGTCAAACAAATTTCTCATCCGTGGTTTTGATGCTCGATGCCAGGCAGAGCCGTGCTTTCCTCCCCCCACCCCCTGCGACCCCCCCCCCCCCCCCCCCCCCCCAGCAGCGCTGCCGGGCATAGGGCAGAGTGCGGTGGGGGCATTTCCTCATTCCTGCGCTCCTGTTCCTGCTTCCACCTGCAGCGGGCAGGCTGTGACGGGCACCTGCAGCGCAGCTCCTGCTCTGTGCAGCGCACTGCCGCCCGAAGGCGCTGCTCCGCACAGGGGAACGCGCTCCATCCGGCGAGCGAAGGGTTACACGGCCACGGGGCTGTGCCCAGCTGAACTCAGCGTTTGGTGCTCAGAAGTGCTGAGGCCTGCGCCTCTCCCAGCTCGCATTGTTTGCAGTCGGGGCGGAGGAAGTCAGCACTGCTGGACAGCAGGCGGTGCGGCTCAGCCGTGCGGCTCGGAGCCCCCAGCTGTGCTGCTGCTGCCCAACGCCTGTGCTGATCGTGGGGCCCGCAGCACTTGGGGCTGCTGCTGTGCTCTCGTCCTCCCTGTTTGGTTTGGGATTCGCAGCCTCCTTCGCACTCCCCATGCGGCCAATGTGGTACTAATGTGGCTTTGGAGCAGTTGTGGGAGATGTGTAGTGGGTTTTGGAGCTGTCATGGAAGTGACAGCTGGTGTGATTTCTCCTTTCATTCTCCCATTGGCTCCTGAATACGAAAGACCTCAGACAAACTTACTCCTCTCTGGTGTGCTCACAACCCCCATATCTGAACCCCAAACTCCACCAGGACTAATAATCCTAATATGGATCTACGCTGCTGTGTAGATCCTTGCCTTGGTCCTTCCAAAATGATGGGAGTGCAGAGGCAGCACAGAGCTCACGTCCTCTGCTAAATAGGAATAACAGCTCATAAAAGAACCGTGACCCCTCAGGACTCTCCTCCCAGCCCACCTCTGGCTGGGTCCCTCCTGCCTGCACTGGGACCGGAGGAGGGGGCTGGTTCCAGGCTCCCACCACACAAGGGGACACGAGAAGATGTATTGTGAGCTTCTAATGTCCCCAACTTGTCCCACGTCCCAGACCCCCAGCCCTCCTAGATCGTGTATGTGCGGGGCAGGCTTCCCCTCAGCACAAGGCACAGCAGGGGAAGGTCATTTTGCTGCGTCCCCTGTGGAGCAGAGGCTGCTGCCAAGCCCAGAGGCTTTTCTATTCCAGACCAATAAACCTGAAAGAAAGAGGCACCGTGCCCTTATTTGTGACGGGCTCGGGAAGCCCCCTCAGCAGAGCCGTGTGCCACAGAGAGGCACACCTGAGAGCCTTCCCCTGTGCGTCCAGCAATGCCTTACCAGACTTTTTCTGCTTTGAAGTCCCGTCAGCAGTCCCACAGCTCCGCAGGGGACGCTCATTAGCTAATAGCCGGCTCCGCAGAAGCACGCAGCGCAGGCAGCGGGGCTCTCCCCCTCCGCTCCTTAGTTGCCAGAGCCAATAGATGGCAGCAGCCGCCGCGCCATCAGCTTCCCGACTGAAGCATTGCCCCGCATCACTCCCTCTATTACTCTTCCCTGCCTCTATTCTTACCCTTTTCCTATTTTGCCACTGAAACAGAAATGATCAGGACAAGAAAGGAGAGCTAAAAATGACGGAGTGAGCACAACGCTGCGGATCTCCCATTTTTCATTTTTCAATCTCAGCTGCTGTAAGAAAATACTCACAGAAACTTGTTTAGCTCACCTTATAAACAACAAACATTTACAAAATCCCCACAGTTTCCTATCCCTTCCCCTTCCAGTATTCACAACACAAAACGCAGGGCGCTGGGTCGCTGGGTCAGAGAGCGCCCCAAGTTGGAAGGGACTCTTAGGGATCACGGAGTCCAGATCCTGGCAAATTCTGAGCTTCCAGCTCAAATTCTGTGTGACAACAACACAATAAAAAGAAAGAATTTTAAAGAAATGTTCCGGCAATTTTGGCCAGCCAGGAGTTGTAGGCTTTCCTCTGGAGGAAAGAGTAAAACTGATGAAGATAGTAATTGCTTATGCTGATCTTGAGGGTGTTTTTGAAGCTCTTAATGAGCCAAGCTGCTGGTGAAGGTGTTGGTCCTGGTGCCATTTGCTTTTAAAAGGAAACAAAGCGGCTCAGCGAGGCTAAGCATTGTGTTTTGATATTTTCAGGGTGGAACATTGTGATTTGTTGGCTTGCAAAGCTTTGCTGCTTCAATTTTTTTTTTGTACATAAAGCGGAGGTTGAAATCAGGATGAAAGCTTTCAGTTTAAGCTAATTAATCTGAACACTTTGATGCAAATCCCATTGTGTTTTCTCAGTTTTGTTCTCCGGGAATTTATTGTAAGTGTCTGCATTCCATTTTCAGATTGGGGGAAAGGAAAGAAAAAAGTGAGATTTCCTGCAGAAGAGATAACCCGCCGTCCACCCACGGCTGGAAATTCTGCAACAGTTCTTACATTAAGAAGAAATGATTTTTTCCCTAATTGTGTGGTTCAGTCTCACCCTGAGCTGCCCAGGCTGTGCGGGATGGGGATGAGCCAAGGGCCTGTGATGGGGAAGGTGATGTGTGGTGGTGGGGAGGAAAACTGTGCTCCCAGAAAGGGCTGCTCTGTGCAAAGAGCGCTTGGCCCCAAAAGTCCCCAAGTTCTGCAGGAACTGCTCCGATTTCAGTTTCCCCGTGAAACAATATGAGGAACAAAAGGAAGAACAAGCCCTTGCGATAACACAGCTCCAGCAATGAGAAAGCAGCAGCATGTGCCAAGGCTCAATGTCTCTTACGGGTAACACAGCCGGGTGGCCCTGGGGAGCTCAGCAGGCACCGTGCCCTGCTCCCCTGCACCTGCTCCTCCTACATCCCTCTTTGAACACTCATTGCCCCAGAGCCTCATGGTGGGCACAGCTGCCCAGCAGCACCATCCTGTGATCCCGACCCGGGGCTGGAGGGAGTGCAATGTTTGCCCTTTCATCAGTCCCCATTGCTTCAGGGAACTTAAAAGGGAAAACTAAAAATAAACCCAACTCCCTATGACCTTTCATGGGTTGAAATGGGTCTGGCAGTGGTAAAGCGGGTCAGGTACCTTGGGGCCAGAACCGCAGCTGGAATAGATCTCCCTTCTCATCACTGTGCCTGGACCTGTGGGTGGGTGTGCAAGGCTGGGAGCAGCAGCTGCACCCAGACAGGGCACAAACTTGGGTGTGTATGCAGGGGGTAAACAAAGCAGCCCCAAATATGGGACCTGAGGGTGCCTGGAAGGCTGGCCCTGCTACACACAAGCTGGCTTTGCAGGATGGCCGCAGCCCACAGATAGCACACACAGCATCACCTGGAGCGCACTCAGCTCTCAGCCTTTCTCCTTTGTCTGCTTCTATTTTTTCATTATTTCTTTTTCCCTGAAATCATTTGCACAGCACTAACGAGTGAAAATTCAAGTTTGCTTGAAAACAATCTATCATCTGATTATCGTGGTAATGCAGGCAGCCTGGGAACAGCTGCCTCTGCCTGTCTGTGCCTCCTCCTGCTGACACACAGAGCTGCTGGGAAGGAAGGGCCGTCGTGCTGCGGTGTGAGCTGGAGGAAAGCCAAGCTGCTGGTGAGTGACTGGTAGTGCTGTGACTGAGGAAGAGGAGCGGATCCTGTGCTGGTGTAGCACTGTGCTGCCAGGTTCCACCACGGCCCTCAGGGTGCTAAAACATCCACTGCCCATTTTGCTGCTTCTGGTTCCAGTTGCCCTGTTTTCCTTTTGCACCTGTGGAGCACGGGGCTAGAAGTGGAGGTTGCTCTCTGAGATAACTGTCAGTCCAAGGGCAAAGGACGTGCATCGCAAGCCTGTGAGCCCTCTGAAAGTTCTTCCATGTGACTGTGAGTGTGAGTTTGTATGTACGTGTGTATCCAGGTGTGCTGAAGGGAATGCTGTAGCTTCAAGCGAAACAAGAATGCAAGAGCTCAGGCTGATGATAAGCTGACCCCTATGTGTGCTGAGGACAGAGATGCTTATATGAATTTTAACTGTCATCTCCTGGGTCCATCAGGAGCTGTGAGCTGATTTGCCCTTGTAGCATCCTCATTGCCACACACTGCCCCGGTCCTCACGTCATGCAGCAGGGAGCAGGGATTCCTTCCCTGTGGCCCCCGCAGCACCCCACTCTGAGGAACGGGGCTGCCCCAAAGCCTCAGGGGCCAACATCCCTACTCTGGGACAGAAGCCTGCATGGAAGCCCACAGTTGGTGTCTTTCTGAGCTGCTGCCTGGGGAGGTGGTGGGCTGATTTCTGTGAGTTCCTGGTGCTGCTATAGCACAAGATATATTTTGAAGGCCAGCCCCAGCAATTTCACACGCAGTCAGCAGCTCCTGGCTCTCCCAGGAATCAGCCAGCAGGAGTCAGGCATCAGGGAAAGAAGCAACCCAATTATCACCCATGTAGGGACAGCTTGGTCCCTTGACATCTCACAGAGAGAAGGAGGAAGGGATAAGAAGCCCAGTGTCCAGGGAAGCAGTCAGTACGATTAAATGAAATTAGCACATTTTTCCCCCTGTTCTCCTGCCCTCATCAGGATCCCGTGTCCCGTTTTGCTGAGTCCTGCAGGCAGCAGCCCGAGTTACTCTGTGCACGCTGTGCTCTGAATGAGGCAGGCGCCCTATGGGAAAAACACACAGCTAATAATTGCTGTGAAAGACTGTGTTACAATGCACAGACACAAAGGGATGAAAGGAGACTACGCTCACATCCTGACATTTCCTCATTTCTGAGTTCTTGTCTCAGGCATCCCTAATACGCTTTCAAGGCAGCTTTTACAGCCAGCTTCCTCTGTCAGAGGAAAGGAAACGGAATTTCCAAACACCCCAGGATGGTGTGGGGCACGAGGGGCTCAGCATGGTGACCTGCCAGCCCCTGCCTGGGGCCAGCCCCAGCACTCCCAGAAAGAAAGCACTTAGAAACATAGTATTATGGAATCCCAAAGTTTGGAAAAGACCTCTGCAATCATCTAATCCAACCATCAACTAAACGATGTTCCCTATAACTTGAGCTCTATCCCCACCCAGAGAACACTTCTCCCTCTTATTTCTGCTCCTGTTTCCATCTTGCAACAGCAAACAAAATTTTGTTAAGGGGAGACCTTTGCCTAGATGCCTCTGCGGGACCCCACTGCCCATGGAACCCCCACACTGCCCCTGCATGGGTTCCAGGATGGGAGATGAAGATGTGGTCAAAAGAGGGCTGTGCTGGAGCACCCAGAGCTCTGCCAAGGCACCATGTCCTTCTCTGCAGCAATCCCAGCCTGTCTCTGCTGGAAATTTCAAGTTGTTCTGATGGCAGCAAGTTAACAAGATTTGGAAACCAGGTCAACGGAAGGAGCTTAATTAGCTTGCTGAACCGTGGGGATCAGCTCTTATCGTGTCTGCTTTGTTGACTCCTGGGATGGAGGTTATCAATACGGTTTTTGTGAGCCTCGCACCCCTGGTGCTCCCCAGGCATAGGGAAACTTTGCAGCCAAAGTCCCCAAATCAGCAACATGGAACAGTTCAAGCTGCCCTGCTGTGCTGTACGGCAGCACTGCTTTCTCCCTGCCTGCTTCCCCTCAGCCCTAAAATGACCCTCAGAGCCCCCACTGCTGCTGGCTCAGGTCCTCCCACCCAGCCAGCACTGCTCGGTGGGGCAGAGCCAAAGGGGACAGGCAGTGAGCTGGCAGTGTCACTGGCAGTGCAGGCACTGCTCACACAACCTGCTGCCTGTCTTGTCGTGTCACCGACAGCATCTGCTGCCACGACGAGAATAGCAACGACATGGCAAAGCAAAAGGCCCTCTCTGAGAAAGGAGCGGGAGGGATGCAGGGCCCTCCATGCTACATGAAAACCCCTTTCAATGGAGGCATGGCCATGGCTCATTTCTCTGAATGGCAGCACAGCTTCTCGGGGCTCTGCTGGCATGTTGTGCTCAGCCTCATCCCTGTTCTCACCCCGGGAGCAGCTCCACCAGGTGATGCTTTATTCTGACAGGGTGTCTCACAAACAAACCAAGGAGCTAATGGTTTGAAACCCTTCCAGGAACTCTGACGTGCTGTTTTTGCTGTTAGTGAGAAACGAGCCCCCTCTCCATCCTGCAGCCAGACACCCTGCGCCCTGTGCGGGACAGACACCGGGCTTTCCAGCGTTGGATGGCTGCTGGGGGGAACCTCGCTGTCAGAATACCCCCTCCCCACGCCTATGTCCTGGGACAGCATCTCGTATCCTGCACCACCGCAGCCCCGAGCCAGAGGGATGGCAGCACGGCGGTGAGGGCATCCCGGGGATGCCGGAGGCTGCAGCAGGACGCAGGACAAGGCGCGGGGCCGCGGGCAGGCGGTGCCCAGCAGATGGCGGCGGTGCCGCGGCGAAGCCCCGCAGGCATCCTCGGCCCGGCCCGGCCGCCGCCCCCGGCGCTGCCCCCGGTGCTGCCCCTCCCGGCCCGGTCCCGCACGACTCGGCCCGGCTCGGCTCGGCCCGGCTCAGCCATCCTGGGCTGTTCCGCGGGGCGGGGCGGGCGGGCGGGGAGAGGCGCGGCACCGCGCGGCCCCACACCCCGCTATAAGAGCGGAGCGAGCGGCCGCGCTCCGCAGTGCATGGCAGCGCCGGGCCTGGGGCCGTTCCTTCGGGTTGGTCCGGGCACCCGCCCCGCTGCCGCCACCCTGACCTTGGCATCGGGACAGAGCGGGCGGCGCGGCGCGGCGCTGGGGATGCCTTAATGAGAACGTGCAGGGACCTCTTCTAGCGAGGGGAGAGGCGACCTCCTCCCCGCTATCGGAAGAAAAAGAGGATTTAAAGAGCGGCTTTGCCCCCTTTGTTGACTGCGAAGGGCAGAGGAGGACCGGCAAGATGAGCACTAGCAGTAAGTACGGCTCTCCCTTCCCTTTGCTATGGGAACAGGGCTGATGTTGTGTGGAGCTGGTGGGGAGGAATCGGAAAGAAAATGTGACACCGGGGCTGACACATCGGATGGGCTGCATATCTTTTTCTCTGCCTCTTGCTTTCTGACAGGGTATGGCTTTGCTAGTGTTCCCTTCGTGTGGGCTGAGCCGTGGTGCTTATCTCCCCTGAGTACTTCTTGGCTTGCATTTCTGGGCTTGGAGGGCAGATCATGCAGTAAAATGTCGATATGCAACATGGTGAGAGGGAGCCAGGAGCACTCTGCCAGGCAGCAGCCACACTTGCTGATGCTTCTGCCCACATATAAATAGCCATTAGGAGAACAGCCAACGGGGATGATCAGCAGAGGAAGGGGGTACCCAGGAACTGGGGAGCTGAGCAAAGCACAGATGTGGCACAGAAAAGCATGTGCCTTCTGCAGCTGGGGATGTGGGTGTTCCTATTGTGCGCGGGTGAGAGATGGGGACAGAGGCGTTCATGCACTACGTAAGAATTGCTAAAGAAGCAGAGCATAGAAATGTGCTGTATGAGATGAGAACTGGCACCTGCTCCTGGTCCGGTTGCTCCTGGTTTTGCATCCTTGTTGCAAAGTCTGGAAAGATTGATCCAGTCACAGTCAATGCCTTCTCATTGCTGTGAGGGTGTGTGACAGCTGTGTCCACCTTGCTAGCAGACCTCTGGCCTCTTCCTTTAAAAGCACGTGGCACCGAGCCCCCAGAGCTGCTGCTGGTTGCCACCTGCCTCCTGGGACAAGGTCCTGTCCCTCCTGAGTGTCCTCACAGCTGTGTGGAGTGAAGAGGCAGAAAGTAGCAGAGCAGTGACTTCTCTGTCCTTTTGGTGTGCTGAGGTTTCTCAACCTGAGATCTTGGGGTGGTTCCCAAGCAAAACACCGTGAAAAATGTCTTGGCATGCTGCAAGCAACAGAACAGGTGATTCCAGATCTGTAGGGCTGTGTTAGAGGTGTGAACGCTTTCCAAGTGCCCTCTGCATGAGCCATGCCTGTGGCAGGAGTGGTGCCCTGCTCGGGGGCAGTGAGGTTGGCAGTGCCCAGGTAGGGACTGCTGGGGACTCATTTGTTCCCAGCTCTATGGGATGCCTGGTAGCAACTGGGTTATGAGTAATGATAGTGGGTCTGGTGCAGAGGACTGCAATGGCTCTCAGTGTTTGCTGGGGTCAATGATTGTGGTGGCCAAGTAGGGCTTTTAGGCTTCTTCTAAGCCAATTCCAACAAATGTGTGTTAGTTCCTCCTGGGGGTTCCTTTCCAGCTCTTAATAGCCAGCTTGGATGCTGACAGTGATAAGGGTTGTTTATGGTGCCAGCGTATCGTAAGTATCTGATTACAACGCAAAACTTCACTTATTCCTCTCCCACGTGGGGGGAGTGGTGCCAGCAGAGCCACACGTGCATCCTGCCTGGTGCTCTCCTGCGATTTGATGGGAGGAGGCCACCAGGTTGGGGGGTGGGGAGCTGGAGCCCCCTGAAAGCCACATCTCCTCCTGCCACCAGCTCACTCAGTGCCCCTGGGGGCATCACTCAGCCATGCCTTGGCTTCTGAGTTTCCCAGCAGCAGACTGGCACTGTGGGTCTTGCCTGAGCCTTCGGATGGCTTTGCTGAAGTGGTGCCATTTCCCTTTCCCAAGTAGCTATGTGGTTTGGTGAGATGTGGGAAGCTGCTCCAGCTGCAGTTTGCTTGCAGTGCTGTGGGCTGATCACTGGGGGTGGGCACTCCTTGGAACAACACCTGTACAAGAGCTGTGCAAGGCAGCAGGCACTACCCTGCTGAGCTTCCAGGCTTTTGCAGACAGCTGAGGGCTCAAAGCAGAGTTTGCCATACCCACATTCTGGCTTGTCTGTTCTTAGCAATGGCATGATCCTCTCCCAGCTGGTACTGAGAGCACGGGCAGGACTGGGGCTTCCACTTGTGTGCTCTATGGCTGCTGTGAGCTGCTGAAAGCTGTCTAGCTTCTTCTCTGCCCAGCCTGCAGCCCTCAGGCCTGTGTGTGCCTGCTGGAACCCTTGGCATCCTCTGTGCCATCTGGCTGTCAACCTGTGGTGCCTGGCTATGACCTGCTGTGGCTCTTGCAGCCCTTTTCCAGCAGCTGCTGGCTCAGGAGCTCACTACCACTTGTTGGCTATGGAGCAGCTCTACTGCTCTCAGCACGGATTCTCTTGTCTGTGAGGGAGGGCTCTGAAGCAGAAGGGCTGTGCCTGCAGGTCAGCTATGCTCAGCCTCCCAAGCCTGGTCCCTGTCCTGATGCTCGAGATGCTGTTTACGTTGATGTTGGAGGAAAAAGAGAGGATGTCATCACCTCACGCAGTGGGACTTGCTTTGCACCCAGGGTTGGAGGACCTCTCCTCTCCCATTGAGCAGAGAAGGCAAAGCCATGTGAAAACTCTGCTGTTAAGGGGCAGAGGAGAAGGCCTTTGATCCTGGGTGTAAACTCATACCCTGAGGCTGCAGAGTGAGAAGACCTGAGGGTGCAGAGTTGTGCTGTCTGGGAACACAGCCTCCTGGCACACGGCTGTGCTGTGAGCGTTTGGAGGGCACTATGTTGATATTTACATTCACTCTGCTATTTATACCTCCCACTCTGGTTAGCACTGCTAATTGGTTGCAAATGGATTCATGCATTCCTAACCAGGTCCATCAGTGCTGCATTTCTGCCGAAGCTCGATCCTGTGGTACAAAGTTTTGACCTAGGCAACATCCCCTTAAAATCACTCCAAAACCTCCTGAGCTCTGGGCTCCAACCCTTCCCTGAGTAGCTGGGGCAGGAAAAGCCCATCCATCCCACCCTGCTCCCTTGGAGCGGCTGTCACCTGTTGAAGCATGGGGAGGTCTGTGGGGGCTTTGGTATGTGAGGTGGAAAGTTTCCCCAGACCATCCCATCCTGGCACCTCTCAGATCCCCCTGCAACAGGTCTCAGAAGGCCCAGAAAGGAGGTATGAGGAAAAGCCGGCCGGTACGGCGCTTGGGCAGAAAGGCTTCATGACACACTGATGAATGTAACGTGTTTGCCTGGTTATTTTTGTCTTTCCTAAGTCGTGTTCCCTGTTGCATGATGATCCACTAAGTATAATTACCCAGTAATCTGCAGGCACATGTGGTTACAAGGTGTTTACCAGCAAACTCTATTAAGTCCCTGTGTAATTAAAGAGGAATCACACAGTACCGTGCATCTCCAGGAGCCTCAGCCCTGCCCCATAAGCTCACCAGGTTGGGGAGGTTCTGCATCTCCCCACAGAGCAGGGCAGGACGTGCTAAGGAGGCTGTGAAGCTGCTGAGGGACCCATTGATACGATGCATCGAAGTCATCTCTTCTCTTTGAGCTTGCAGTGCCAAAGAGATCTCCTGCTTTTCAATACCCAGCCCTCTGCTGCCACCAACATCCCAGTACAAATCCTCTCCTTCCTCCTGCACAGCCAACCAAAGGGACAACTGTCAACGACATTCACTTCAGTGCCAGAAAATTCAGCGCCCATGCAGTCTCTCTGGCCTCAGGCTGGTGGATGGACTTTGGGCGCTCCTGCAAACCCTCTTTCTTGGCAGTTTGCCCTTCAAAGAGCAGAAGCCATGGAAAGTGGCCCTGCAGTCCAATGAAGTGCATGCTGTAAAGTCAATTGAAGCAATTGAATTATTTCAAGGGCCTGCCATGCTCTTATAAAATAAATAGCAAGTTTTCTAATGACGGAGTGACGATTGGTTTAGCCAGATAATTGTATTTGTGATGCCAGCAGGCTGGACTAATGACAGACTGTCCTGTTATCAGTGTGGTGCTGCCCTTGTGCTCAGCAGAGCTGCGAAGGAGCGAAGGCAAAGCCACCAAGTTCCTGCCAGACCCCGCAGTCCTATCATGATGATGCCATAATGAAGTGCTTGGAACATCTAATCAGATATTTTTAGACTAAATACATCAGTGCCTCTCAGTTGTGAGCGCTGCAGTGCCTTTGGAAGGCATCCTGGGGGTGGGCTGGAGGTGGGAGAGAGACGGGATAGAGAGGAGGGTTTTATGAAGTGGATGGGGACAAGGAGTGACTGCAGCAGGTGGAAGGAAGGCAGAGCTCGACTCCAGATGTTTCAGCCCCAGAAAGCTTGCTCAAGTGCCCTGAAGAACAGCCCCATTGGAAACACTTCCCCTTCCAGAAAAGGGCTGTCTCTGAAGCTTAATAGCACCAAACTGAGCAAGTGTGGCAGCAGACTTGAGCATATGGTTCCCATATATTTGATGGCGGTTCAGATTTTTGATAGGCTGTAGTTGATAGAGGCTTTTTCCAGTTCTGGCATAGCCCGAATGCCTTATCATTATCAGCCACAAGCCCAGGGCTGGGAATTGACGTGCTTTCTCTGCTGCCTGGGGCAGAGTTCTGAAAGAAAGAGGAGCCAATATGATTTCCTTACGCAGCCTTCCTGACCTTCCTTTTTTCTTACCCGTTTTACCTTGGCAAAGTCCTTCTCTGAGCCTCGAGCATTGCTTGTTTTTCTCTTCTTGCACATTCTACTTTACTCCCATCTTGAAATGTTTTTGAAGCTTGGACAATTGGAGAAGTCCTCAGGAGGAGGGCATTGCAGAGGAGCGGGAACATGTAAGAGAACAGTACGTGTCTGCAGCCATCCTGCTGACCTCCTTCTTTGCAAGAAGTGCCCCACAGTCGGGAGCACCAGGCTGCCTTGTTGGTGCAGTGCCACCCCAGAGCCCTTCTCAGATCTGAGTCCATTACAATCTGAATTCAGGTTCTAGGGGTTGACCTGCTCTCACAGCAGTGAGCTGCAGCAAGGTTCCTCAGCACAAGGGGATCATAACCTAGCACAGGACTGGAGGTGTGAGCCCATAGGTGCCCACACCAGGCTCTGCAGTACCACACCTGCACAGCACATGTAGCATCTCACAGAAGCGCAATGCAAGCGCTGCTCACCTTTCCCACCCCTGTGCTGTGTACCCTCCAGCCCTGGAGGTGTTGCT